ATATATATAGCAAAAAATAGTGATATAACAGTAGGGGACTTTAGTACTCCACTTTCATCCATGAATAGATCACCCATACCAAAAATAAATATGTCAATAGGCAAACACTGGCCTTAAATGACATGTTAAACTAGATGAAATTAACATTTACAGAACAGTCTATTTAAAAGCATAAACGTTCTTCTCAAGCACAAATGGAACATTTTCCAGGATAAATAATATGTTAGGGCACAAAATAGGTCTAAATAAATTTAAGAAGATTGAAATCACATCAGGCATTTTTTTCAACCATAATGGTATAAAACTAGAAATCAATTATAAGAAAACTGGAAAATTTGTATAGGGAGATTAAACAACATGCTAGTGAACCAATGTGTCAAAAAAGAAATAAATGTCGAGATAAAAGATAATGGAAATACACTATACCAAAAAGACAATAGAAAAGATCGGTGAAATTAAGAACTGGTTTTTTTTTGAAAAGTAAAAATAAGTAGACAAACCTTTAGCTGGATTGACCAAGAAAAAGTAAAGGCTCAATTAAATAAAATTATTAAAGAGGTATTACAACAGATATCACACAAATACAAAGGATCATGAGACGACTGTGAATGTTACACATGAAAAAATTGGTTCAATTTCTAAAACATACCACCTATCATGACAATTATGAAGAAATAGAGAATCTGAACATATCAATTACTATTAAAGAGATTTAATCAGTCATCAAAAACCACTCAACACCAAAAGTCCAGGATGAGCTGGCTTCATTGGTGCATTCCACTAAACACTGAAAGAACTACTATAAATCCTTTTTAAATAATTTCAAAAATAGATGAGGGAACACTTCCAAACTCATTTTATATGACCAGCATCACCTTGATATCCTAAGCAAACAAAAACACTACAAGAAACTATAGGCCAGTATCCCTGATGAACCAGGATGTGAAAATCCTCAATCAAATATTAGCATACTGAATTCAACGTTACATTAAAAACATCACACTCCGTGGTCAAGTGGGATTTATTCCAGGGACCAAGAATGGTTCAACATTTATAAAGCAATCAATGTGACAGCACTGTAACAAAACACAGGATAAATATATTGTCATTTCAATAGATACAGAAAAAGCATTTGACAAAATTCAACATCTGCAAAGTTGATATGGAGAGGACATACTTCAACCTCCAAGGCCATACATGACAAGCACAGAGCTAACATCATAATGTTAAAAGATAAAAGCTTTTCCTCTAATATCAGGAATATTACAAGGAAGCCCACTTTTGCCACTTTATTCAACATAGTACTGGATGCCCTAGCCAGAGTAGGCAAGAAAAAGTAATAAAAGGCATCTGAATCAGAATCAGAAAGGAAGAAGTAAAACTCTATTTGCAATTGACATAATATAAAGAGAAAATTCTAGATTTCACCAAAAAACTGTTAGACCTAATAAATTAATTCAGTAAAATTGCAGAATACAAAATCAATATACAAAAATAACAAACTATCGAGAAGACAACAATCCCATTCCCAATTACATCAAGTAGAATAAAATATCTATGGTTATCCAAGGAGGCAAAATAAGTGTATACCGAAAACCATAAGACACTGATGAAAGTAATTGAAGAGGACACAAATAAATGAAAATATATTTTGTGTTCATAGATTGAAAAAATAGTTAAAATGTCCATGTTACCCAAAGCCATTCATAAAGTCAGTGCAATCCCTATCAAAATTCCAGTGGCATTTTTTTAAAGGCATAAACAATTCTAAAAGTTGTATGGAATCACAAAAGTCCCCAAATAGCCAGTGTTACCTTGAGAAAGAAGGATAAATCTAGATGTATCACACTTCTTAATCTCAAGCTATATTGCAAAGCTACAGACACATAGATCAATGGAATAGAAAGCCCAGAAATAAATACACATATATATGGCCAGTTAATTTCTGACAAAGGAGCCAAGAATATACAATGGGGAAAGGATAGTCTCTTCACCAAATGGAGTTGGGAAAACTAGATAGTCACATGCAAAAGGATGAAGCTGGATGCTTACCTTACACTATACACAAAAACAGCTTGCAATGGATTAAAGACTTAAATGTAAGATCTGAAACCATAAAACTTCTAGAAAAAAAAGAGGGGAAGCTCAACATTTCTCTTGATGGTTTGGATTTGTCCCCCAAAGCAAAGGCAACACAGCAAAGATTAAAAAAAAAAAGTGGGCCTACATCAAACTAAAAAGCTTCTGCACAGCGAAGGAAACCATCAACAAAATGAAAAGTCAGCCTATAGAATGAGAGAAAATATTTGCAAATAATATATCTGATAAGGGGTGAATATCCAAAGTATATAAAGAATTCATATAACCCAATAGTCAATAAACTCAAATGATCTAATTAAAAATGGGCAGAGGAACCTAAGAGACTTTTCTAAAGACATAAGATAGCCAACAGGTACATGAAAAAGTGTTCAGCATTACTAATCATCAGGGACATGCAAATCCAAACCACAATGAGATATCGCCTCATTCCTTTTAGAATGGCTATTATCAGAAAGAGTTAACAAGTGTTGGCAAGGGTACAGAGAAAAGGGAACCCTTGTACATAGAAATCAGAATACAGTCTTAAAATATTGGAATCCCCTTATATTCAAACTACTCTCTATCAAGGACAGCAGTCTAGTTTAAGGAATAAAAAACACACCAAAATAATTACTACAAATATTCCACAAACTAGATTAACCTCATTAATATCTCCATTTCTGAGCTCACTGCAGTTACTGACTACTAAGAGGTTTAGTAAGGGAACTGTCCTGAGGGATATTTGACAAGCTAGAAGGACCTGAAGGTAACAGCTTATATAGAATATTCAAAGATTCCATACATTGGACTTAGAATGCTTCTTTAGGCCATAGCTATTCCACCATTATTTTGAAAAATATAGATGCTCTAAAATTGCATCAAGTACACTGGGGATATGGAATGAAAACTTGGTTTGCACAGAGAGAGGTTAGGTGGTTTTTCATGGACCTGTATTTGCAGAGAAAACATGGTTTAGTTAAATTTCTTTGAAGGATAGTTTTAGGAGAGCCTCCTCCACCCCATCAAAAGTTCCTTAGTCACCTCTTAGAACCATGCCTTCCTCATAAGGAGACAAATCATTTTAGATTTTTAAATAGTGTTTCTGTCTACCACACTAGAGTCTGTCATTAATTTCCTACATCCCATTTCATTCATTCCTTTTACACACAGGGGATGGTCCCACATTATACTATATAGGGTTATGATATTTGATCTCCAACCACCTACCTAGAAACTACACTTGTAATATTCATAGATTACCTTGTTTCAGATATTATGTAATTTGCCTTGATTGCCATGGAAGTTGAAAGAAAACTTGGTAGTGTTTATATAACTCTGCCTGTGATCAACTCTTCAATAAACCTATGTCAAATTAAATACAGTTTAAATCAGGGTAGAGACTGACTATTTCTAAATCAAGAAGCAGAGATTATTTCCAGATGCTCCTATCTGCCATTTTTCCTGGGTCTTGCTTTGTCCAATCAGGAATTAGAATATAGATACAGCCTGATGGGGCAGAGGGGAGAGGCGGGGAAGCCCTATTTGTCAAAACTAATCATCAGAGGCCCTGGAATCTCTACCCACATATTCCTTCCTGGGCCAGGATAATCCAGGTATAAAGGAACAATTGATAAGTCAAGGCAAAGATAATTCTATTCGACTAAATGAATGACAGAAAGTGGTCAACTTCACACTGTAGAGAACTGACATGCTAAGATACCAATGGTTAGGAAAACACATAAAAGAGTAAAAATGCCGTTCTATGCCACCCACAATTTGTTCTTTCTCCACATTCAAATTTCACCTTTCTGATTCTCTGTGTTATCTGGGATCTCAGAATAAGAATTGTGGAGAGGGAGTTATCAAAATATGTATGGCCAAGTTCAATGAAAATTTACTTCAGATGATTGCTTTTACACCTCCCTCCTGAAATTTGCATCATCATAGATCTACGTTATTTAATGTGTAGTTGATCTTCATTCAATAACTTTACATGATGTTGGTAATTGATAATTTGGGGTCTAACAGAAACCCAGTAATAGTTTCGAAAGTGTATAAGTGATTTTTTTTGCCCTATGTATGCAAAAAAGTAGTGGCTCAAGCTTTAAGACTGCTAAGCTAGCTTTTCAATTCAAGACAGTCTGCTTTTGCAATTCTTGATGCAAAAAGATTGCACCTTCTTAGGCCCTTGGTTTCTTATTTATCAGTCAGGTAAGGAAATTCTTCAGCACCATGAAACCTCTATAATATATGCCTGTGGTGGGAGGGAGGGAATGGAAGTTTGTATATTGCAAATAATATATAGAAAATATAGAGAAATATCCCAGATCTCAATGTATTGAGATATCCAAATTTCTCAATGCTTTCTGAAATTTACCAGAGAAGACTCTTAGTTGCTATCCATTCAAATCTTGGTAAACAAATACTCTTTGAAATTAATGCATTCTCATATTTATTTTAAAAGACTAAAAAGAATGCCAGAGAATTTAGAGAACTTGGTTTAAAGAGACAATTTTGGTAACAGTCAGTAGGGGAATTTCTCCTACCATCACCTGCCCAACAGATGGATCTGTACTACGAGTGCCACGGCACTGGGTCCTTCCAAAAACCCAGTCCTGCTTAGGCCAGTTTCATAACATGGTGGCCACACTGCAGAGGAAAGAAAGGAATGATCCAGAACTTCATGTGTTGCTATCCATTCAAATCTTGGTAAACAAATACTCTGCTGCCTCTAAGAGCTCAGTTATTCCCAATTAATCAACATATGTTTAAGTCAAATTCCCTCTTCCACATTCATTTTGCAGGAGTAGAGTAGAATATTGTGGTGAATGGAGCCCTGCCCACTCACCTCCTGGTTAAGTGCAGCTGTGGTAGAAAGTTTCATGCCTGTTGCCTGTGACCTCTGTTGAACTCTGCTTTCTCACTTTAGGACTTTCTCTAAGGCCATGTAACACTGCTGGCATGGATCCCTGAAGAAGGCAGCTTCATTGAGTTGGAAGGAACATTCCTCTGCCCAACCTGCATCTCCATCAAAGACTGAAGTTTTATCCTAGACTCTCAGAATTGTAAGATTTCTGGTCAGTTAGAATGACTCCTTGCCCTGATACACAATAAGATACTTGGAACCTGGGTACTTGTTATTAAAAAATGTCATAGGCTGTTGGGGAACTCAACATCTATGCAGCAATGAGAAGAAAACAGACCTCAGCCAGAACCAGGATGTTTACTTCTGAGTTATATCTTCTACCTGTCCCGCTTTGGTGTGAGCTGGAACGAACAAGAACTGGGAAGGAAGCTCATATTGCTAATGTGGCTGATTCAGCTATTGTTCAGTCTATCATTCCCAGCCTTATGGAGTTGAGGAAAACGCCCTTGCCTTTGCCATTACTACTTGATATTTTGTCTGTTTGACTCTGGTGTCTTGGGAGACAAAGACTAAGTTTTCCTCCCACTCTGACATTCAAAGTCCTATGAGGTCACCTGTACCAATGAGTGGTCTCATGCATGGTTGCATCAGAATCTGAGTTAGGTGTAATATGTTATCTACGGAAAATTCTCCAAGCAAGTGGCCGAGCAGAGGAAAGCTTGTTCTCTTCCCCCACACAATCCTCTTTCTGCCCACTGAAGACGGGGTCTATGACATTTCACAAATCCTGGGACACCAGAGATAGACCAAGGAGTCGTCAGAGCAGAGGATGCAATCCTTGCTGTGCTTTGAAGGCATTCATTGGCCACTAGACTGCCTCCACTTTCACCAAGTCTCTGGAGAAGATCTATCCAGAAAAAGGAGCTTTAAGGCACTGATGCCTGGGATAAGCTTCATTCTTTCCCCACTTGTCTGTTAAGGCTATTTTCAGGAACCCCAGATATTTATTGTACCATATTCAGGAAACAGGTACCTGATGTGTTCTCTTGATGGTGGGAAAGGATAGTAAAATTGGAGGTCAGAGGGTTTTGTCTAGTATTCATATACTGAGAAATCCCTATTTAGAATGTATTTGTCATCTCCTTTCCCTCATATCCAGACTATTAGATATTAGTATGAGTTTATATACTTGCACAGAATGTGTTATAATTGCCAAGGTTCCCAAAGCAAGACAAACCAACTACTTGTCAGATGAATTACCTGGTAATTACAGCAATTCAAGCATTTACTTTAAACATGATGTCTAAGTCTATAATAAGACCCCAATTGTCTTTCTATTAGCCAGTGTATATCTGTGGCTGAAAAGATAACCTCTTTGGCAAAGTATGAGTCTATCCTTGGGCACCTCATAAATGTGAGCTGAAAGGATAAACCACAACCTTCAGGGTGTCAAGGGCTCTCCAGATCATGATTAAACTTGGGACTCTGATGTCAAATAACAGCAAAACTGATACTGGCATACATTCTGGACTTACAAACCTTCCCGATTTTCCCAGAGGCCTAGATCATACCAGCTAATAGAAAAGCATCAGCTTAAGTCATCATAGCCTGCTTAGCATATTATCTTTTTAGAGTTTAATTCAACACACTACATTACTGAGCAAATGTCATACACCAAGTTCTGTGCTAGGCTTTAGAGTAATTTCCTTCCCATAATGTAGCAGATATCTAATTCTCTAGTTATTTATTTCAGAAAAATTTTAAGGCTCTATCATACTGATACAAAAACACAATCACTGCAGGCATCTGAGCTGAGATGACTGGATAGCAAAATCCTGTTCTCGGGGGATAAGAGAGGATGTAGGAGCCACTACATCCATAGTCCATTTGTAGTAGACATGAAATGTGCCACCCATATCCCTTTTCAAAGGACTTTCTGAAGCTACAGAGAGAGTGGTTCCAGCCAGCCTCCATCAGTCAGCTTCTTCAGGATCTTCCCCAGCTGCCTAGAGTCACCTCATCCAAGCTCATGCCCTTCCTGGGGAAACCCATAGCTGGTGACTGAATGGGGCATGGCCAATTTGGCCCAATGTGGAACATATCTGATAGGCAATATTTGCTTGAAAGCTTTATCACCAGGTAGGCTAAGGCTTTGTTGCACCTGTATTGCAACAATCATTCTCTCTCTGCCATATCCTGCTTCCAGTCCTTTCTTTCACAGATGTCATTCCCTGATAAACATCACATACTCTAAACTCCATCTTCACATCTACTTCAGAGACTCTAACTTGTGAGCCCATTTATTCTAGATTCTTCTACCTGACCTCAGAGCCAATGCTAGGGTAAATAAAAAAGCAGTGTCTTTATAGCCCCACCTTTTCAATTCCATTTTTTACTTTTCATACTGTTCCCTATCTGCATAACCCTAATCTAGAATTTACCAATTATCAAAGCTAACAAAAATGTCTTGATGATAAAACTTTAGCTTCTTCCTTAATGAAATAGAGGTGCCATCTTCTAATGGGTTGTTGAAATGACTGAAAGGAGACAATTAAAAAAATATGTAGTGTGGTATGTGGCAAACAGATGTCTTTGGTCACTATTAAGTTTAATCTTGTAAAACCAATAGTCTGAGGTGTCTTAGGCACATCCACATTGGGGCTGGCAAATGAGAGTTACTTCATGTTAAAACTGAACCCCAGAAATGATTTCAACCACAATATTATCAGAGAAAAGAATAAGATATTGTTAGAGTTAGGGGGAGAGGGGAATCTACATATGTTGATTTGTATGGGTCCTAATTCATCTGTTAGTCTATACAGATGGCATGGACATTGGCTCAAATGCTGATCCAGCATTCAAGTTTCTTATACCTAATTTGAATGAGTTTGTTGAGTTGTAAACTTCTCTAAACCCTAGAGATCTAGGTAATCTAAAATATGGTGTCATGTAACATTAAAAAGTCATTTTAAAATAACTAGTCTATCCATTCACTATTTTATAACTATCAGACATAAAAGGAAAAATCTCTTATTGCAAGATAACCAGAGATGATTTACACATCTAGTAACAGAGTAACTAAAATTTTCCCATAAAGAAAAATTTTACTGCCCAGTTAGCATATAACTCTTCCCTCTCCATCCAAATCAGTTTCTTCCACCGTAAATAGACTTAACTTTCTTCATATACTACTTCCTCTGCTAGCCCCAGGGCTGCTGACCAGTTGCCAAGGTGTAACAAGGAAAGAACTCGGGATGAGCTTCAGCAATACAAGAAGTATAAGATCATATATTGTAACAATCCTTGAGGTGAACTGGCTTGGCTATTAACAGAATAGATTTTTATTTGGCCTGCTTTAAGCTAATACAGAGTTTTGAGGCAGTATTCAGGACAAATTCAACCATACAGAAATTTATGGCCTCCTCTCTGCTGTTCCTTTCTTCAAGGCTATTCACACTGTACTATCAGCCTCTGACTTGATAGGTTCCCAACTCATATTGTAATTAACTGTGGTACAGATCATGTTAGATGTTCAAGTGCTGTCAAGAGTGATTGGAGCTATACGGAATTAGCCCCTAAGATGTATTCCAACAGTTCTTATCAAACAGCCGGATTAGGGTGCCTAAGAAGAGGAAATATCCTCAGCCCTAGTAGACGTGTGTGTGTGTGTGTGTGTGTGTGTGTGTGTGTGTGTGTCAAAGTGGAAACAGAAGACCAGTTGCAGTGCTCCAGGTGACACATCCTGGTGACTGCCCTTGGGTAGAAACAACAGCTCAGGTGCCTGTGTGTGTGTGTGTGTGTGTATAAAAATATCAAAAAAAAAAAGAGGGTAAAATTGTTTGGCAGCTCTTGTTTTTCACTTAGAATTAAAGTCATTTTTTTCACTATTCAGAATTTCCCTGTTTTTATAAGGAAACTAATTGAAGTACTTACCAAATTCCAGAAGAAAAAACATTTCAGGAATGTTACATAGCAGTGAAAATGAATGAACTACAGATGTATGCAAAAGTACATAAATTAGTCTTATACAATGTCGAATGAAAAAAAAAAGTCCCAGATGACTCTCTACACTATGATAATTTTAGTAAGTACAGAAACAAGCAAAGCTAGATGTATTAAGGCTTATAGGTGATAATCATCTAAAAAGTAAATAATTCAGAGAATGATTATTAAGTGGAATGTGAGAATGGAAGCAGAGGCATGGGCAGGGATGAAAAATAGAAACATGAAAGATATTTGAAATGTTGGTTTGGATGTTAGGTTTATTATTTTATGTAATCTATATACAGAAGAACATACCAAGTGTATCAAATATTACATAGAAGGAAAAACAACTGGGCTTTTTACCTGTCACCCATTAGGCCAACTTTGGTTCCTTGACCTAGTAGCAACTTTTCACTAACAATCTTTTCTGTATACAATGGCACCTTCTGGGGCAGCTAGATATCTATAGCCAAGTTAATGAGTCTATTTAATCCCATCAAAGACAATTTAAGAAATTCTAAAATCTTTGCATGGAAACATGTAGCCTTCCATATTATATTTTAGAGTGACTGATGGGGGTTTCTTAGGAGCTACTTGAAGTTTGTCTAAGGCAGGAAAATTTTCTTTTACTTTCAGTTCCAGTGAAAGGGCTCCTCAGGAACAAGGGAAAGGCTGGGCCTTAGCCCTACTATCCAAGATGGTATATTTTCACCTGATCTCATTTGACAAAGAATTTTGAGCATTACTTAATACTGTTGCATATCTGCCACCAGAAAGCACTCCGTGAGGTAATATAAGTCAGAACTATGCATACTCTTTCACTCTCCAGTCACATTTGATTGGGTATGTACTGACTCTTAAGCTATGTGACGCTGGATTTCATCTGGATACCCAAGCCATACGAGGTCAGACCATTCTTCCCCCTCATCCCAGTGTCTCCTACAATTTGTGTGGCAGGCTACAGAGGTGTATTGTTCACCACCAGAACACATGGAAACAGACTCTGCTAAGTTCCTGGTACCCTGATACCAGTAAGAGAACCATGCAGAATGAGAAGGCAGGGTTCTTATTTGCATGCTGAAACACTGCTTTCCTCAAATGACCGAAATGTTAGCTTTCTACCTGGAATATCGGACACCATTCAGGCAGGGTTATAGAAATCATGGAGAAGGATAACAGAACCTGGAATTAGTCTTCCTTTATCTTAAATTATGTGAAGAATATTCAAAAGAAAGTTTTAATACCATTATTCCTGACCCAATAGGTAAAAATGATAAAGAGGTTTTTAAAGAAACTGAAAGAAAATTTCAATTTCCGCCATTTCAGATAATGGTGGGTAGCACTGACTGAGTTTCCTTGATACACAAGCAGGTCATGGTGGTCATCACGCTGAATGATGTCAGCTTGCACGACTCTGTTACGTAAGCTCTCAAAGGGCTCACAACTACAGTGCTATGTAGTTCCCAACTTTCCCACAAACGGAAGGGAAGGAAGCTATTTTAGACTGCAAGACTGATGATGCCTCTTTGAGAAACTTCAAATAGATTTCTGGGACCATGCTTTCTGCACAGTACAGAGCTTTGCTCGGAAAATGTCCCTATAACTTGCCTTCTGTCACATTTGTCAGATGCTTACTGCTATTTGGGTTTCTCTGTCAAGTTTGTGGTTACAAATTTTGTGAGCACTCTTCTTAGAGCCCACCATCTGCTTCATATGAGCAAAAGAGATCTTTAGTTAGAGTACAGGGTATTCTCCTGTCTGTGCACTGTGTGTATAGACTGGAGAAAAAGCTCTTATTTCCAAATTCTATTATTTTTGACAAAGGCTTACTGGCACTATTTTCTTTGCTATTGTGTCAAATGAGTGTTTATTTCTCAGGTGCCCTTGAGCTATTCCAGAGCCCAAACCTTCATATTCAACACTCTCAAAACCCTTCCCAGACTCTTCCTTCTCCCAGAAGCAGAGGTCATTCTCCATTCCCAAGGAGGTCAGATTAAGGAGGTTGCAATGTGAAGTCACAGTAACTCAATGAGCCTCCTCTTCAACCTTGTTCATTAGCTCTAACAATGAGACTAGTACATTGGTCTCAGTCATGCCCCCGGTACAAGCATAGGGGACAAGCACAGAATCAAGCACGAAGAAAAAAAATTAACCCGACCATGTGGACAAATTCAAACTATTACTGAGAAACAGAACTAGTGAAGTCAGGCTTTCCACTCAGATTTGATTAGGTTTTATGAAACTTCATACAAAGGCAAGTGGCATGTACATATTGCACAATAAAGATCCTAAAGGCTGAGACCCAATGCTAGAGGCATTCCAGCTGTCCTGAATAGAATCCAACCATAAACATACTGCTCTTTAGATAGTCTGATGAGTTTGTTTTAGTGAGGTGATGGCAGCAGCTTCAACAAGCATCTGTATATACAAGATCCTGTTTCATACATGCTAGTTCACATCACTTGTCAAATGGTTCAGGAAGTAGATAATTTAAATGCAAAGACTATCATTTATAGAAGCATAGAATTAAACAATATATTTCTCTATGAAGGTCTCCTTATGAAAACTGGCAATTTTGGCTTTTCAACAGAAAGATAGTGGGGTCTTCCTGGAGTTATTCTCAGCAGGTGGAATGGTCTGTTTGCTTTGTTTCCTGAATGGCCCTATAGAGGATCCTAACTGGAAGGCCATCCACCAGTTTGTTCTAGTTCATAATAAATTTCTTTGGCATTGTATTATATGAGCTTATCCGGCAGAAGCTGCTTCTCTCACACAGCCAAGATCAGATCATCTTTATTCTGGGCCAGAGGCATAACCCCTCCAAATACTGGTAAGTTAAAAAGTCCCAAAGTAATTCAGAAGCTTGTAGTGGACTATGTTAAGAAAATTAAGAAAGAAAAATCTCATTCTTCCCCAATTCTATCTTCCATTAAACTATCCAACACACTTGATCTAAAATCAATTGCAAGCATTACTGTACTGAGAATCCCTCATTGACAGTATAATGCTTGCACACATCTAGACTGCCCCTTCTAGTCATAATGTGAACATGAACTTCCTTGCAGACTACTAGAGGAAGAAGAATGGGTGGCAGAGACACCACCCTTCTGCTTCCTTTCCATAAGATCAGAGGACCTATTTTCAGAGAGGTTACTGTAAGGATACTTACAGTTCATTTTCTAGAACATTTATAGGGCCATAACTTCACATTGCCTGTTTTCCCTTTGTAGCTATGGGATAAATAAGCCATTTGCAATTCTGGTTTGTTCTGTCTTCTTCCCTTGTCCATGAGCCAAGACTGCTCCGGATCTACAAATGGATACTGATAGGCCATACATCAAATGGTGCCCATCTGTTAAGTAAATGAGTATTTTGGGGGTAAAGAAAATAAGCAAAGCATATTTAGAGGAAAAGTTATGAAGACTTTTAAAGTAAAAGCCAACTAATCCAGTGTCTGAGTAGAGCAACACATTTGGAAACAGTTCCCTTTGGGTACGCTTATCATGGAAAGGCCTTTGTATCACAGAAATAAGACCTGGGCACCAAAGAGGAAGTTTTTCACATAATGTACCAGACAATGCAGTCTGTTCAGACTTCAGCTGACTAAAGGAATCTATTTTTGTGCTACAGACACTTATTTTTACAAAGCACAATGAGTGTTATTGTGCATTAGGATGGTATTCCAGGTAAACTAATTGACCGACTTCTCTGTCTCCCTTCTCTCTGGAGCGAAAGAGAGTGAGAGGCATTCCATATATTTTGTATAAATGGAATTATGCCATATGTGATTTTTTTGTCTGGCTTTTTTATTTAGCATAATGTTTCCCAGGTTCATGCAGGTCGTAGTGTGTATGGCTTAAGAGCATTCTATTGTATGGATATGCACCATACTGTTTATCCATTCACCAGTTGATGGACATTTCAATTGTTTCTACTTTTTGGTTATTTTGAATCATGCTTCTATGACCATTCATGTACAAGTATTTGTTGGAA